TCCTGCGTTATCTTCAACTTAGTATGACAAAATAATAAAGAATTAAAATATAGTGATATTATTATATATTCTGAATAATAGGATTAAGATACCTATTAAGTTATCTTGGCTATTCTATCAAATATTATTGGATATATATATTAGAATCACAAACGAGATTCATGAGCAACTCTAAATATATCTTCCCGATGATGTAACGTTTAATAAAACTACTGGTTTAAGTTCGTTATCAGGAAAAATGATAATTAAGTCATGACGATCATCTACACGAGGCTGATATTCAGCACAATTCAGTATAAGCAAGAACTATATATATTCAGCACAATATGTATATTTTGCTTTGGATGCACACAATCAACAATCTTGCTTTAGATGCTTCCAGATATGTTAATTTCCACGGGTTAATATGAGCTAATAACATTCCTACTCTTGAATATAATTAATATATCGCCTCGTTTATAATGTTAACTTCTGTATATTAAATGATAAGCTAAGCAAAAATTGATGAAGTGTTGTTAGAAAAAAAGAACTTTCATCTATTTTTTCGTGGAAATATATAAGCAATTTATACTTGAAGGTATTATATATATTGTCATTTATTTAGTATCCATTTTAATAATTATAACAATATCATAAAAGCAATATATTCATAAGCATAGCAAATATTAATTTGTTATATCGAATACACAAATTATATCGCTAATGATTGATCATGGTATAATTTTGAGATTGAGAAATTTTAAAATTTATGTTTGTTAATTAGGAATAAATGAAGCCTTCAAAATCTGGTAACAAAGTCTAATAGGTAGGCTGGATTTAAAATAAATCATGAATAACAAATTATTCTGAATGGAAAAATTACAAAAGAAAATGTCGAGCTTCAACTTCTGTTGACCCCCAAAAATACGTAAAGGCTTCTAGAATTTGGACTAAAGTGATTAAATATAAACCATTTATGTAATACTACGAATAATCTTAAGTTGGACCAGTAAGAGATTATACAAATAGCTAGGTCTCCGTACTCACCCCTCAACGACTTAAAAGACTTTTCATTATTCATTTTGTTCTCTTCTGATCATATTCAGACCCTCACGTAAACATCATTGAATACTAAAGAATTTTAAAGTTACTTGTAAGTTTCCATTTTGCAATTTTTTTTTCTTTCAAGATTGATCACATATATATTTTACGATCATAGATTCATAAGTAAACAATTCTCGTTTTCATGGTGTAAACATAAATCTATCGCTTTCACAATATAAACACATAGAATAGAAGTGAGATCATAA